CTTGCTATGTTGCCAGCACCTAGAAGAGCTTTTGGTGTCTGACAGGCAACTCTGACACACAGGGGTATCTTTCTATGGGGGCAAATTCATCTGCCCAGTCTCAGTGTTGTGCTGCAGCAGGGCAGGGGAAAGTGGAAAGTATCTCCACTTGAATTTCATTCCTCCTTCCTATGTTTGTGCCTTTTTGTTTATCTGGAACACTTATTCCTGGATTGGCTATTTTGTAGGAACATCAGGCCTGTGTGAGAGAGGCTGCTGCTATGTTCCCCAGACAGCATTAGGCTGTCTTGTTCTTTTTTTTTTTCCCTTCCATTTGATCCCTCTTTTCTCAAGCATAAATCAGAATACTATAATTTCTCTCCAGAGGTTTCCCCCCACTGTTTTTAATATATATATTAAACCACATTTTAAAATGTTTCTTATCACAATTGTAAATCTTGTTAAGGTTGGAAGGCTGAATGCTATGCTAACAGGCCTTACCCAGACTAGGGAGAATTTTGGAAATACCAGGTGTGTTACTTGGGTTGAGGCAAACAGATGAAGGTAAATGGAGGCAGAAGATGAGGCTGCACTCATTTTGGTGAATATCAGCATACTCTGCCATTGTATTGCACAATTTCCCTTTGGCGCATCTTTATCTGGGCACTACCAAAATCCTGCTACCGAGACCATTTAATGCAGCTATGCAACACAAAAGTGATTGATCAGATCAAAATGCCAAAGGAACCCTTTCCTGGTGGATGGCAATTATTTTCCTCTACTATGTTCTGCCTTTGCAGTCTATTTGCTTTGAAGCCTGTGAAGTCATGACAGTGTCCAGTTTTATGAACTGAGCCTCTTGGACAGCACATTCTCTGTCCAGCACCTCTTCCAGAGAGCGGGACCCCACAGTGCAACTCCCCCAAGCTCTGAAAATAGCTCTGAACTTTCCCAGCCTCTGCATGTGTTCCTTGGAACTGCAGCCCTGCTGGATGAGTCAGCTCTTGCAGGGTGACATCGCAGCTGAAATCAGACCCGGGCTTTGCAAAGAGAAACCCAAAGATCCTCTTGTTGCTTCATGGGAAATACATAAACGAAGTAAAGATGAGAGTGTCACACACTTCCTGTCCCCATGCTGATTACTCACCACTCTGGGGAACCCCCAGGGTTGTGTAGGGATCAAATCTCATCTTTCCAAATCCTCCAGCTGCACCTTCTCTGGCAATGAAAGATGGAAAACACAACTCCTTCGAGAGCAGACCTTGGAGTCAGAACAGCAGCTGGGAAGTAGTACAGCCCTGATGAGAATGTGCCAGACCAGAGTGGGTCTCAACATCTCCTCCTTCCAGCAAGCCCCGGAAAAAGGAGGCTCCATCCAACAGACTGGTTTGGCACCAGAAAACCTTTCCCAGGTTTTTCAACTGTTTGGTTGTGACAGCCTCTTGCTGCACTCCATATGCCTCTGTGAAAGGGATAAAAGGACCTCTGCAAATGCCATGATAGGTGTAGAATGACAGGGATATAAAACTGTATGCAGATATTTTCTCCAGTTAGTGGCACAATTATATGACTGGGATATTACCAACACACAGTCTCTGTGTTTCAATTCATCATGATTTAGTCTGAACACTGAATGGCAGGATAACAAGACAGACCCTTTAAATGTAATAGTCTTTTGAGAAATTTATGTTCTGTGGTTTTGCTTAAAAACAAAAGGCTAGAAAAAGGGCACTCTGTCTAAGTTGCCTCAGATGTTTCACAGCATTTTCAAATCCAGTGTAGTGACATATATTGCCAGGTAAATAAAAATCAGTGTGGAAATATTTACTCTTGCCCCTTACTGGGACATGAGTGGCCTTGCACTTTTCTAAACACAAATGTGAAGATGCCTTTCTTGGCTCTTGAATTGAGGAAAGAACATTAAGCTGCTGTCAGGAGAGTAACTATGGTTTCTTACTCCCAAAAACTGGAAATGCTCACTCCTTACTCTGTAACTCTTATCCTTGTTTTGATGATATCGGTGTCTCTCTTTCACATGCAGCTTTTTGATTAAATTGCTGTAATTTAGCTATCACTTCACAGCTGTCAGAAACTCTAGACTCCTCCTCTCTGTTCTCTGAAGTTCCTACTTTCTATTACAAGTCATTGCACTGCAGTCATATAGATCCCAAACATTTTGCAGTGGGAGGCCAGAGTCACAAGATCTGGTAGATCAGAATTTTGCCCAAGATCACAGTGTGACATAGAAGGAAAAAGCCTCCAAAAGATGCTTTCTAATGCCTTGTGCATTCAATGTGCAGATGAATAGACCGGTAGCAAAAGCCGTGATTTAATGTGTAGTTAGAAAGGTAATATTTGTAACATCTGAAAAAACATTTCCCCTCAAGCTGAGAGGGAAGGTCAGCATCAGATCAGTGCATTTGTGTGTCACTGTCTGTCACCGTGGCACTGTGGGAACAGACCTGGGAGGCAATGAACCAGTACTGGGAAGTCAGTCTAGGGGAACGGGCAGGAAATGGGGCTTAGGGACCCATGACAAACTCTCCTGCTGCATAGCTCTCTGATTTTGGGCAAGTTGCATGCACTACTGGTGAGTCACAGGCAGCCTGACGATGTGAGTTTGGCTCCATCTAAGGGAAGCAGGGAATACTACAAAGCCCCAGAAACGAGTTGGTGTCTGTTCCAGTCCTTTAGAGCCAAAAGACAATGGCCAACATTCACCTCTTCTCATAAACCACAATGCAGCTTTATCCCTGCACTTTTGAACTGATGAGTTTGTAAACCGTGTTATTTACTACGGTAAATGCTTTTCTATCTATGTGGGTCACAACTTGGAAGTCACAGCCTCAAGGTAATGATTAGTGTATTCATTGATAGAAGACAGTAATTATTAACCCTGGACTCTGATACTTTTTAAAGAGCACTTCACTTCCCCAAACAATTTCTTTATTGAAATTTATTGTACTTGATATTTGCCTAAAGGACCTTTTACAAGGATTTCAGTTTCCTTTGCTCTGTTTTTCCCATATGTTTCTCTTTCTTTGAGCAGCTGAGCAGGCAAAATCTTCTTTTTGTGTAAAGGGCACACAGGACACACAGGAAGGTAGATTCCTTGCCCAGAAAATCTGAGATGAATAGAAATATGTTGGTGTTTACCAAACTGAAACGGCTGACCCATTTCAAAACAGAAAATCCTTAGCAAGACAGGAAAACGAGTGTCTCTAACATTTTGAACAGTCACTGAACTACCTCTCTAAGAGGTTTAAGTCCTTGCCCAACTCCTTTCTCAAGACACACTTAAACTGTAGGGATTTTAGGACAGAAATCAACCACTCACGTGCAGGTCATGGAAACAAAGAATGAAACCAAGTAAAGAGCAGAGTTCAATTTAAAAAGTGAAAGCAACTGGCCTCACTGAAGGCAAGGAATCTTGTTAGGCACTTCTTCCAGTTGTCTTGCTTGTTAGGACTTGATTAAATAAGGCTGAGAACACAACATCTCCTCCTAGTTTTACAATGCAGCCCTGAAGTCAACTGCTCATTTAAAGCTCTCACAAGAGCTCCCAACACAACAAGCCCGGGGCAACAACAACGGGGGGTTTGCAGCAGCTGCCTGCTCAGAGCTGTACCATTCACAGCCCTCTGCTTTCCATTAGGGGCCCAATCCTCAGTGTCCACAGCCTACTCCTCCTCCTGCATGCCCAAACACATGCCTGAACTCCAGTACTTCTGTATCCTCCTATTCCTTCCCTGCCCAACATGGTCTGGCACACACTCCTTCTCAACCTCTGCCCTGCAGCCTGTGAGGGAATTGTAGGCTCTGGCTTGAGCTCAGACAGGAAAGCTGAGCTTGGTCTGCTGTAAGGACTGCTGCAGCCCTGATCCAGGCAATTATGGCTCAGCAGAATCTGTCACATGCAAGTGCTCACCAGAGGTGCTGGAGCAGAGGCGTGGCAGGGCTGGCTTCCCTTGAGGACAGATCTTGCAGGACCCTGGCCACAGCAGCTGGTGTGCAGGCTCTGCTGAGTCCAGGGCAAGCAATCATCCCTGTTTGGCCAGCTGCCTCTGGAAGAATCTTCCCCGGAGCCCTGGGAAGTCCCTACACACTCTTGCTTGTGGGTACACACACGCGTGGGCACCTGCTGCTGTGGTCTGTGCAAACCACTGGAAAACCTGGGATCTTGCTGAGCTGCTAAGATGCATGTTACCAATCAGAAGCCAAGATAGCAGAATTAATTACTCTCCCAAGAATGAAACTGGACCAATCATCTGTGCCAACAAGGTTCTTTCTCAGTCAGGAGACTATTTGTCCATCAGCCTAATGCTGAAGCACTGTTAGGCATGTTCTGAGCTGTTGGGTCATTAAGGTTTCTGTAACAGTTTGTGGTTTTAAGCAGAGTCATCTTTAGATGGCCGAAGGCCATCCAGCCTATAATGTTAAGCACCACATTGAGCCATTTTAAGAACTTTATCTTTAGAAACACTCTTAGGAATACCCTTTGCTTTGTTCTCTTTTCATTTCCCCCCCCTCCATTCTTACTTGCTTTTCTTTAAAAAGAAAGGAAATCCAAATGCAAAAGTGAATATAATGCTAAGTCAATGATGACTAAGACATCAGATCAGGAAAATCAAAAATTTCTGCGTAAGATCCCAAGCTTGTTCATGGTAGGCACCCAGAAGTAACTTGATATTGTAATTATGCAATAGAGTTCAGAACTGCACATATACACTCTCACCGTAACTGTACTGAATTCTGTTGTATTCTGTTATACTGCACTGGTGCCTTCTTTGTTCAGTGTAAACTTTCATCTAACATTAAATCCAATGGAAGTAATTTAATAGACTTGATTTGCTGCCTTTACTAATGCTGCAGATGTTCTTATGCATTTGTTAATAAAATGTGAATTTAGTTAATTCATTATGAGTCTTAAGGAAACTGAAAGCTACTGAAAATAAAGAGCCTTCAAAACTAAACCAAAAAAATATAGCTCCCATGTAATACGTGTTCTTTACTTGTTCCAGGTGAAGACAGAAAGATTTTATGGACAAGCAGAATTATTCCTTTATGGTTTCCCCTACTGTATATTTATCAATGCCTGTAAGTACCTTTGAAAACTTAGAAAACACAGGAGCACCTACTGAAAACAATCTGTAACAGGCAGAGTTTGTAAATCAGATCCATCTCTTAAATGTTCATCTGTTTGAAGGAAGATACAGTGAGTAGGACTTCAGCTTGTGAACTGGAAATATGGGCAAAACTGTGAGTTTTGCCATCAGTTTGTGATAAGCCCTTGCAGACATCATCCATCCTCCCCTGTTCTGTAAACAGATCTACTAATAAGTTTTCTAAGCAAATGAGTTCAAGAATGAGCCACGCACCATTGTTGCTAAAATTGGCAACGCAGAACAGGAAAACATCCATGCTTTCTCATTCACTTGGAGTATTTGTCTGCAGAGAGCTGTTAGAAAACATGGGAGAAAGGAAAGTAAATATTCCTGACTTGTCATTAAACCTGAAACTCCCAGAAATACCATCATGCATGGGAATGTTTTGTGTTTTTGACTCTATTCTTCCACTAAACTACCTCTGGAGGGTTAACCCTGTCAAACAGGAGGGAGAAGAATTATGTTACTTCAAAAATTTATCTGTGTAGCCAGAGCTGAACTGGATCCCTGGGAAGGAAAAGCAAAAAGCTATAAATGTCAGGATTGAAAACCAGGGCAAGATAGTGGCTGACTGGCAGTAACTGGCTAAGAATTTGGTTCTTCTTAACATACTTGTACCATCAAGCTTCTTATCATAAAGTTCACAGATTAATTGTACACGGCACAAACATTTTTTCCTAACTACTTCACATACATTGCTTTGCAGTTATATCACGTCCTCCAGTTCTCTGAGTGTATGAGAAAATAAGGAAAGGCCCATGATGCCTTCTTTATATCCCTTGTTATTGTATACATTGCTCTTTTCTTTGTTTTGAAAGGTGATCCTAACTTCTTCAGCTTCACAGCGTGAGCCAATCCTTCACAGAGCATTGTTACAGTCTGTCATGACTCGTGTCCTTTTGAGATACAGTAAGCAGGGGTGAGAACATCGCTGCAGGTAAAGTGCACTGACTATTTAATTATAACATTCCAACTATGGTTCTCTGCCCTGCTCTTTAGGGATGCCATCATTCCTCTATTTTCCGCGCAACCCCGCTGCAGTTAACGGAAGAATTCCTTATGGACATTTCACCCACTCGCACCATTTATTTTCTTGTCTTTGTATCACATCAAGAAGCTTCGCGCTTGTGCAAGAGAAGGAGCAGAGCACCCTGCCAGGCATGCTCCGGCTCAGTGCCGGGTCGGGCGGCGGGAGCAGCACAGCGCACATTGCTGGCTGCTCTGCGATCTTCACACTCGGTACCCCTGAAACCGCTCTTCGCGCGGGAAAGCGCGGAAAAGTCAGAAATGTGTTTCATTTGAAGATTTATGCTGGCTAATCCCTAATTTCCAATAGACTTGCTTCACTGAATATTATCTCCTGACTTCAGATTGTGACAGGCTGGCGATGAAGCTGAACAATCACCCCGCTGCTGTATTTGGTTTCCAGCAGTTACGAACCAGCCTCTGCCCACCCCCCACTCCCATCCCAAGGATTAGGGGCGGGCGGTGCTGGGTGAAAACATGGGAGAAAGGAAGGTAAATATTCCTGACTTGTCATGAAACCCGAAACTCCCAGGAGTGCCACCACGCGCGGGCTGTCCCGTGGTTTCCACCCTCACCTCGCTCACCAGCTCACCCCGCGGCGCCCACAAGGGCGGCGCTGCGCCTTTAAGGGCGAGGCCCCGCCTCTCCCCGCCCAGCAGGCACCCGCCCCTCCGCCCCGCCCACGATGACCTCATCTCTGCCTTCCCATTGGCTGCACGCCCCGTCAGTCAGGCGGCGCACGCCCCTGGCTCCCGTTCGCTTCCCCAGGTGCTCGCGGTCCATTGGTCGCTTCTCGTGCCGCTCACCGGCGCCTCTGCGCTCTGATTGGCGGGGCTGGCGGGGGGCGGGCGCTTCCGCGGTTGCGAGGCGCCGGCCGGCGGTGGCGCGGCCGGGCTGCGGGAGCGGGGGCGGCGCCTTCTCCGCCGGGGACGGGCACGGGCGGGTTCGGGCGAGATGGAGCCGTGACCAGGTGAGCGCGGAGCTCCGGCTCGGCCGGGAGCCGCGAGGCGGTCTCGGGGAGCGCCGGCGGCAGACAGAGGGAGGGTGGGCGCGGGCCCGCCCCGAGGGGCCTCCCGCGCTGGGGCACGGCCGCTCCCCTGGGAGCCCCGCGCTGTGTCCCCGCTGCCCCGCAGCGCTGTGCGCCCCTCCCGCCCTCCCCCCGGGAAGGGTCCCGGGCGTTCGGGGGTCGCTGGGGGTGGTTCTGGGGCTCTTGGCGGCGGTCGAGGCCGGGCAGTGCTGACAGGGGCTCGCAGGGGTTTGGGTTTGGGCGGCAGCCGCCGCTGGGACCTGCCAGCCCCACCGGGCTCCCTTGGGCGGGTCGATTTTCCCCGCTGGGAAGATGCTTGTCCATGCTGTGCCTGCGTGCTTATTTGCTTATATATCCGCGTGTTCCAGCCATTTGTCTTCCTCCCTGTGACTGTAAAATCTTGCATCGAAGAGGACTGTAATTTTACGTTTCCCCTGATCGTGGATGAAAACTGACAATTCTGTATGTGTCTTTGTGGATAGAATCCTCCTGAGACCTTTATGATCTGGATCTGTGTAGCTGTACGCTGCAGCATGCAACTTGTGTTCATATGGTTCTGTGTTGTTCTGTTTTACAAAACGAGCCTTGAGTGAGCTGAATAAAGGGCTGCAGGTTTGCTGCTGCTTATAGCAGTCCCTTTCTGGTATTGTTTGTCCAGAGAGCATCTGGGCCTGTGCTGTGAAAGTGAATTTTAACCTGCCATCCATAGAAAATACAATTTGAAGACATTAAAAATGTTTCTGTTTAGCTTCTTTTCTGTATCTTGGAACCCAAAATGTGCTTTTTGTTTCTTGATAGGATGTGAAGACACTGCTCTGAATATTTGGAAAATATAAAATGTAGCTATTCTCAGTTGGATGTGTATATCCCAACATTCTGTCTTTATTTTAAATTTGTGTTTGACATCAGGGCTAGTTGTGACATAGCTGACTTATTAGAAGTGTGTTTTTTACTTGTGTGATGGTTTTCAGATAAAAATACAAATGAATTTCATCACTGATTTTAAAATATATCTGTTGCTGGCACAAAACTCCTCACTAGGTTTCTGTAAAATCCATACTGTTGAACTGGTAGAAGTGTAATGCCTTTAGATCTTCATAAGTATTTCCAAAAATATTTCAGTCATTACTGAATATGAAATGACAGGGACACCGTTTTGTTCCCATTTGCTGCAGTGATTTAATGAGTGATCTAATAGTTGTGATTAAATAGGATCTAATAATAGAATTTGAAATAAGTGTATGATCTGAAGCTGACTGTGAACTCCTTTTCTGTTCCTTAGATTCGTGCTTTCTGCTGAAAGAGAATAAATACTCGGAGCTAAAAGCAAATGCCTTAAGCTTTCCACAAGTAGGCAAATTTGCCCTTCTTAATTACCAGATACTGGCTTACTGAGCCCTTTCCAGTCCTTCCTCACTTATAATTTAGAAACCAAATGTGATTTCTGGAAAAGAGTGAAACATTGCCAGTTACAGCTTCTTGAGCATCACACTGTTCTGTACAAAATGTGAGCAGTGCTGTGTTCACTGGTTCCAACAGTTGTGGAATCAGCTTTAATTTCTGTTTAATTAAGGCCATCCACTCCTATCATCATGTGGGAGAAGATTTCCAAATCTTCAGGCTACAAGCAGATCATGCAATAAAATGCAAAGAAAGGTAGTACAGAAGACATTTTAACGTAGAACTAAGAGAAGGTGGCATTTTTCCAAAAGTAGTCGTTAATTTTTTTCTCCTCTTGAATATGAAATAATGGGAAACTCTTAGGTTTGAGGAGGAGTGTTTGCTTGCTTGTATTTTTTTGGTTTTTTTTTATACTGACTTCTACTGGCATGGCAAAAGAGCAGCATTTTTCACAGGCTTTCATCCTTGAACCTCCAGGTGAAATGTACGTTTAGGCAATAAAAGTACTGTTTTATTTAATGTGATAATAATAATAATAATAATAATAATAATAATAATAATAATAATAAAAATCCCAACTGGATTTCCTTCACTGTTGAGCCATGATTAAATCCTGTATGGTATTTGGTGGTGAAAACAGCAGCTGTGCTAGAGAGAGAAATATAAGAAAAAAAAAAAAAGGTTTGGATGTTGGAGTGGAAAGCAGATGAATTCTTATGATGTGTCAAAACATTATCACAAGATTAATTGTTGCACTCATTTGGAATGTGCAGAGTGCCTCCTTATATGCTTTTTACCTCAAAAGCTCGATTTATAGCAACTCCAACACTCTTCTGCCTTTCCTCTTTATACTTAGCTATCCTTCCTTGTGTTGTAGATAATACAATTGGACTATCTCAATGTCTGTTTACTTACTGATAACTCAGTATTTGATTAAGATTCCTTTTGAGGAGTACAGTTGATTTCCTCCATGTAAAAAGTGGTAATAATTAACAAATCATATTACAGTTATACAAAGCTTTTCCTTTAAAGTTGGTTGTTTGTTTTTTTTTTTTTTTTTTTTTTCAGTTGTGTCCTGAGGGTCAATGTCTTTTCCTGAGAAACTGTTGGAGAGGAAGCAGAAAAAGCAATTGTTCAGCAGTCTCAAACTGTCAGACACCTACTCTGGGAAAGCCAAATCTAATTATTTCCTGTTGGACATATTTGCTGAATCGAACTGAGACTGCAAACAGAGGATGTGGTTACACAGACATTTCTTTTAGTGGTGGGGCTGTCTTAAAAAGCTCGTATTCCCATTTGCCTTTTTCCTCCCACCCCACCATGTGCTGTCACCTCAGCAGTGATGTGGAGTCAGTGGAACTGTGTGCTAGGTCAGGTTAGGGACCTCATTTTTAATCTGGACATGTTTGATTACTCTCCCCCTCAGACCCCCCCCTCTCCCCCCCCCCAAAATAAAAAATGGGGAGAGCTGCAGGAATGCATAGCTGGAGTGGAGGAGTGCATTAGTAAGAGCTACAGCTAAAAGGAACGATAATTTCAAGTTGTTCCTATGATGATTCTTTTATGTGTGGGTGTTAGATAAAATGGATGAGTTTGTGTGAATTCAGAAACTAATTTCTTTGTCAAATATTCTTCAGTTTTTCAGGGATGCTATGTATGTAGTTAATGTGTATGTTCTACCTCCCAACCTTTGAATGCTTTCTGGGGTGCAAACACTCTTAAGTGGTTTCTTCAGGGGAAATGAATGGCGTTGGGCTGAGGACAGTTTTTGTTACTAGACTTAGATGTGCCACACTGGTCAGTCAGAGCCTTTAGATTTTTAAATGTGGGTTGTCCTTGCAGAGAGAAAGCAGTGCATGCAGCTTGTTCAGGAGTTTGCCCTCAGTCTGATACTCTGCTTTCAAATGTGAAAGGAATAAGGCTGCTGACGGTATTTCACTTCCTTTGATCCTTTCCCATTTCTTACTCAAGACACTTATTTTCCACACAGATAAATCTTAGAATTTGTCACTTAGTGAAGATATGTAATTTTTAAAATTAGTTTGGTTTATATTTCAGAAATTGATGTAATGAATTTAGTTTGTGCAGCATTCCTTTCCCTCCCCCATTTTCTTGTGTGTGTGTGTGCAGCATCATTATTCTTGTGTGAAGAAATATTCTGGATTTAGGCACACAGCCATATCGATAACATCTCTTCAAGAAGGTGAAATTTAACAAGTCACAAGAGTCACAAGTCTTTTTAAATCTTGAAAGCTAAACACTGAGCTTTTAATTGGAGATTTCTGCACCTTAACTTCATGCCATCCATTATTTGCTCTCCTACTACAAACTAGAGTGTCGACTACTTCTGCTTATCCTTCTTAATTAACTGGTGCTCCCTTTTTCAGCTTGTTTGGGCCCTGCTGATCCAGAAAAGTAGAGTTTTTGTGGAGTACAGCAGAGGAAGCATGGTAGCTGCTGCATGTGCCAGCACGCTGCCTTTTTGGCACTGAAAGAAAAACTTTCTCCTGGACAGGGTCAGGAGTTGCTGCTGCTGTTGTCTCTGCTTGCCATGGGTGCATATTGAAATGTGTATGTATCACAGTGCAGGGGGCCCTGGCATAAAGCAGTGCAGAAACATCCCTATTTTGCCATCTTCTAGTGAGGCAAATCAATGTGCTGACTGCACATCATCTTCAGAGTATCTTCCTGTTAGGGGAACAGGAGACTGAAATGATATGTCTAGTTCTGTGAAATTAATTTTGGTCTGGGACAGTCTACATCACAGATTGTTTCAACCTCAAATTAATGTTTCCTGTAATATATAGCAATTATGACTGGTTATAGACACACTGGGGAGGGGATGTGTGGTTCCTTGAGTCCTCCCCTTCCCGTGGTTTAGTGGAGCACTGAGGATGTATCTTCATTGCACAAGTGATCCATATGGTTGACAGCCTGTTTAGGCTTACTCAGATGAGATCATCCTTTACACACAACCATAGCCATGTTATGATGAACTCGTTCGTTCTTCAGTTGTTTATATGTGTGATGGTACAGCTCTGAGCAAAGATGAGACAGGATTCACTTTCTGTTAATTACAGGGAAGCTTTTCCTCCTTCAGGCAGAAGCTTTTGGAAAAACATTGAAAGACTCTAATGATTTTTTTTTAAATATTACTGTTTTTGCCCTCCCTTGTGATTTTTTTAGCAATATAATTTGT